GGAGTTGATTGTCAGGATTTTGGTCCTATTGAAGTAAGATTAAGAAATTTAATTAAGAAATTCTTATAATCTTTGCAATTGCAAAAAAACTTTAAAAGATCTTGCTCACTTTTCGCGACCATACGACTGAATAGATCTTTTGTTTGGTTGGAAGCCTGCGTTTCTAGTTGTTCTGTGTTGAATGACATTATATCAGTTGATTTTGAAGAACCACCTTTGGAGGATTTTTTAGGTTATCTTGACGATCTGCAAAAATAGTTGGACATGATTATTAAAAGGAATGTAGTAGTGAATAAAAAAGAAATGTAGTAGTGAATAAAAAAGGAATATAGTAATAAATAAAAAAGGAATGTAGTAGTGAATGAAGTAATAAAAAAAGAGAAGCATACACAGCAAAACTCACCAACTTACCATATGGTACAACTGCATTTGAACTGGATGATCTCATACAATTCATTAAAGGCAAAACCTGCTTTATCTCACGATCACCAGTAAAATATAATTGTCAACGTATTGCACTCATTAGCTTTGCAAATGAAACTGACATGGCCTCAGCAATGACAAAAAAATTTGTACTTCAAAACTCCAAACTACAATGGGAACTTCCCTCAGCAAAAACATGTTGTTTATGTTTCTCCAAAGATCATTTTACCTGAAATTGCACACACAAAAACAAGAAAGCACATCAATATAATCAATTAAACAAATTATATGAAAACAGAGAAGTCACATATCGTAAACCCATTATTATATCTCCAATATTGAATTACAAAAAAGCACTTCTCAGACCTGATACAACAAAAACCAAAACTCCAAAAAACAATTCCATATCTGAAAACAACACACAATCAGAAGAAGACAAACTAACTCAATTCAGATCATGGAACAAATCAATTCTCCAATCTAAATATCCAAATCCCTCACACAATCCTAAAAACACAAACAACAATAACAATAATCCAAATCATAACATCCAAAACACTATCAAAGATTATAATCAAAAGATCAAAGAACTAAAAAAAGATGCATTAAACTTTAACACAAAACTAAATGACTTAAACGACAAAATTGACAAGCTTGAACTCAAAATAAAATTCAAATTGAACAACTTGAAAACAATGCTTGAACATCTCATTCAAAATTTGAAACCCTATCAATCAGATATTCCTAAAATGCCCATATTCAAATCTCCCTCAGACAAAGACAAATCCAATCTTCCTATTCCCTTTATCTCACTAAACAAATAAACCACTGAAAAAGACAAAGAAATCAAATCTCTTCTATCAATAAACACATCACTCAAAAATCAAATCACCAACCTAAATCAAGAATATAATCTCATGATGGAAAGATTAGTCCAATTAGAAAAACAAATCACTCATGATCAACAATAATAATTATCTCAACACCAACAATTCTGGTCACATCTCACCTAATTACACAATACACTCCAATATTTCTACTCCATCATTCAACAACGCAAGAAATAACAATTTCAGTAAACACCAACCTTCTTATTCCACTCTACCCCTACAGTTGGGTACCATCAACGTCAGAGGTTTAAGAACATCCAACAAATCACAAGATATTCTGAAATTCATCAACAAAACCAAAATGAACATCACAGTAATCACAGAAACCAAATTAACCAATGACATAGCTAAAGATGGCACGGCAACTGTTGCAACGTGGTGACAAATAAAGCATCACCTAGTTGCAACTAGTTGCAGCTTATAAAATTTTGGAGTTGCAACGTGTTGCAACGGGTGACAAATAAGCATCACATACTTGCTGCGCTATCTCTAATCGAGTTGGACTAACAAAGAATTTTATTTCTGGTTTTAATCCTTCAATGAACATCATTACTTTCAGATATTCTGGATATCCTTTATCTAGATTAATATGACAAAGTAATTCTCTTACAGTGACAGAATATTGTTCTATTGTCTCAGTTAGTAATTGTTTTCGTTGTTCAATTATTGTTACATTCATATACCTTATTAATAGTTCTAAATTTTTGTTTGAATTGATAGATAAAGAAAGCTGAAAATCTCCTAGATCAGCAGGATTATTTGGATTCCATTGAGTTGGTCAATTTGCTATTAAGGCTCTTTTATTAGCTAATCATATTCCAGCAGATCCTTTCAAATATGCATCAATAATTTATCACTTTCTGAGATTAGATATATTATTAGCTCGACTTGTATTTTCAAAGTCTTGGAGCCATCCAATAGGATCTTGAGTGTCACTATAGAAGTCAACAATTTTTGCGAATTTTGCTTCTCCTTTTCCTTGGTTAGTATCAATAACAGTTACTAATTAATGAAGATTAGCAATCAGATTATTGAATCAAGCGTTGTCTACTATCTCTTCTTCTTGTTCTTCTTCGATTTGTATTGTTGATAATACAAATATTATATCTCATATTCTGACTTCAAAGATTTAAAAACATTTTTAATACATATATTATATTTGATATTGAGATTTTGAGAACTCTTTTTAGCAGTCCAGTTAATGCGTTAAAAGAACACAACTATTACTAACCTTTAAGTGATTCTTATAAATACTTATTGTACTTTAATTTATATTTAATCTAAAATTATAAAGTATTATTAAGATTATGAATTATCATTAAGACATTCGAGTTTCCTCTTTGAATATCATAAATACCCTTGAGTATTTCAAAGCTCCATCAAAACAGTAACAATATATAAAAAAATAATTAACTTATATATAATTATAATAGCTTTATCAGGATAAATCTAAAAAATCTGAAAAAAATATATGTTAAAATATGTGATATTATCTTCATTTTAATATAAAATAAAAAATATTTATTAGTAAAATTTAAAACTTTTATATAAAGAGAAAAATTCATATTTTACTATGTTTATAGTTAAATTTTTTTATAGTCATATCTATTTATAGTTACTCTATTTTGTTTTTCCATTTATATATAAATATAATAAAAAATCTCTATAATCACATCCTCTTTATAATCACATTCCTTTTATAGTTACCAAATTTTGCTTTTTCAAGATGATGACTATAGAGATATTTGATTATAATTAATAAATTTTGATGTTGTTACATCATTTCTGATTGTCACTGTATAAATTGAAATTCATAATTAATTAAAAAATGATCAATATATTTATTTCTATTATTTTAATAAAAAAACTCATTTTTGAAAAAAATAATTTTCTTGATTCTATTGACTCATCCCATATATCAAAATAATATTAGCTAATATATGTTAGAATTGTTGGATTCAATAATAGAAATACAATTATAGCAGATTTTATTATAAAAAAAAGATGTAATTAGAATGAAATTTATAATATAATTATAATAAGAAAAAATAATTTTTTTAATAAAATATCAAAATTTCTGATTTTTGGATGGAGAGCCCGAACGTCAACCAGGATTCCCCGGGAATGAGCTTACTGATTTATCATGCTATCCCGAGTGAAGTAATAAAGAAAATAACAAATACATGTATATCATAATAACGATATATTGTATACATACCAATTCAAAGCACGACAATAAACTTGTTTAGTAAAATGAAGAACTTTGATAACATTACGATTAGTTTATTTTGATAATTAATTATATTATTTATAGGATCAATCTAAATGTAATAACTTCAATATTAACCAATCACATATTCAGAATATTAACCCTAACCCTAACTCAGGTTCTAATTAACCAATTAAAATGCGATTGTTACAAATAACAGTTGTTACAAATACATTTATATTATCTTAAATGCCAACTTATGAATTCTTTTTAATCATACCCAGGAACAACCTTATTAAGATTCAAATCACATGCATGCGGATTTTTATAACAAAATTTAGGTTGTAAGGGTGCAGCACCAACGCCACGTGATACCAATCTTTCTCGATAGTCGTTTATTCGTTGTTGCATCTCGCGATACCGTTTTTCACCTTTCTCATTTTTATTTCCGCTCCATAATAATTCGGCAAGTGCGGCAGCACGTGGCCATACTTTAGGGTCGAGTACCGTAGGATCGGATTGTTCGGACCATAGTGCGACTTCGCCACCGAGAACGTGTTTCTTCTCGTCGGCGGTTAGCTTGAAGTCGATGTCGTAGTCATAGATGCGTTGCCATGTTTTGTAGCCATTGCACCATGAACCACTGTTACCACCAGCGAAATTAAATGTGACTAAAATTGCAATAAAAATAAAATGAACGTTTATAAACCAAATGCTTCTTTAAATTAGAAAAAATAAATTGTATAATTACTTTTTCCATTGTCAATATTTTGGTCATATCGGTTATCATTACCAACCCAACCACCGTTTCCACAATCCAAATAAAACCAATCAGCCGATGTCACAACCACATCATACCCATTCGACGTGAGTTTCTTTGTATTATTCACGCCATTATTCCACGTTTGTAGGATCACTTCTTTTGGTACCTTCTTTGCGGCAAAATCTTCTGACAAGTAAACATCTTCCCACATCATGACACGTTTACCGCCATAATTTTCATTGGTGAAGATTGGGTACGCACGATCCAAAAAGTATTGTGCAAGATCGTTGTAGGTGTTGCTTGGATTCTCTTTGAACCAGTTGACGGTCAGATTAGAATAAGCGTAACAGTATCTTTGTAGTTCGTCGAAACCGGCGTGATATATTTTTTCGGGGAACGCAGCAGAAATTTCGGCAAAGAGATTTTTGATAACTTCGTATGTTTTCGGGTTGATGATATCTAATTGACCTGGCGGTGGTTCGACTGCGGAGTGATGTGGCCAGTCGTCGTTTGACCACCAGGAATTGGCACATGATACAATAGAAGGATCAATTTGGAGGTAGCCAGCACGCGCATGTCCAGGCATATCAAATTCTGGAATAACTCGAACACCACGTTTATGAGCGAATTTAATTACTAATTGCACGTCCTTAGGTGTATAAATTTCACGCTTAGAGTACGCGTCTTTTGTCATTGATGGATAAGCCTTCACTTCAAAGGGCCATGAATGTGAATCGACAATATGCCAATGTAAAACATTCAATTTACTCCACGCAAGCGCTTCAATAGTTCTCAAAATATCTTTGACCGGGTAGAAATTACGTCCAGTGTCCAATAATAGACCACGATGTGGGTATAATGGCGAATCTTTAATTGAGACTGTAGATTCAATGATTAGTCCACCTTTTTCGTCCGAAATCACTATTTGCGTCAGTGTGTTGAACGCGTGTAATGCACCCCACACAGTCGGTGACGTAATTATTAATCCGTCCTCTTTCACTTCTAAAGTGTATGACTCGTCAACACCATGTTGTAGTTCTGCATTTAGATTGGTGACGTCGACTTTTACCGATTTGAGTGACAGATTGCTTTTTGTTGAAGCAGTAGTGTTAGTAGTAGAGTTTTCGGTTCGAGTATACAAGAAAGTGTAACTACGTTTGCCTCCTGGAGTTTGAATTTGTGGCGGGAATGGATCATAAGCTGGTGGTTCGGCTTCAAGTGCTTGTACCACCCATTTATCTTGTTTAATTAGTTTCAAGGTACGTTCCCATCCGAATTTCACAATATCACTGGACTGCGATGACGTAACTTGTATATCTAGTGGGAAATTGATTGGACCCTTTTCACCCCACTTTATCTCGCGTGGCTTTGGTAGTGGGTTTACTGTGACGGCATTAATCACCGAAATTATCGTAAACGTAAAAAAGACGACGACGAGAAATGATGCTGTCCGTATCGTTGGTATTATACCATTACGAGTTCTTTTTAACTCCATTCTTTAGTATTTTTCTTGCTGAGTTGAAATACGAAAAAAAACGAAAAGAGAAAGAATAAGAGACGGTGCCAAAACAATATTTTTGTTTTTTACAGCCACTAATCCGATCAACCACTTTCTATATCGATATGATTTGAATCGTTTAAAAAAAAAGATTTTTTTCGTTTTTGGGCTGTTTATTCAAGCATGTCCTTTTTAAAGCTTATCACGACTATGTAAAAGAATTCTTATATTGTATTCTGTATCTATCGCTATTGTTGTAGTATTTATCGAATGAAAATGATAGTAACACAAAAATAAAATATAAAATGAACTGAACAAAGAGTACGAACATAATTTTTCCTAATAATATGGCCAATGTAAATATAGATAACAAAAATGGTTTCAGTTTCAGTTTCAGTTTCAATATCGGTGTGGTTTCATTCATTATTCGTGGAACCAAAATCCAAAACAACATCATCAAAGTTTAAGTGCTGTTGTCCCCCGACGATGAAATCAGATCATTGGATGATTCTTTTTGCGGATTTCTTAAACCTGCAACATTACATTGCTCTATATTGCATAATAATGCGTAGAATATTAATTTGTGTTCTTTCGGAACTAATAAACACGTAACGCGCGTAAATACCAATGTTAACTTGCTGCCCGTGAATTATCAACAACAATAAGCCGTACTCAATTATCAAGTATACATCACATCCATATTTAGTTAGCAAAAAGAAAGAAGCATCATTACGATTTGCTAAATTAAAATTTCTAAATTTGATTTGCTTAAATTAACTCACAAGTAATCTATTTTTATTTACAATGATTAACAGACTTATTTAGGTTATGGTCAAGTACATGTATCATTCAAAACCCTTTTATTATCATTATATAAATTAAGATTTGTAAGTTTGTTTTTCACTTTCCTAACACAACTTATCTATCATCAGGCTGATAATATTCAGTGACACTACTCCCGTCAGTCTCTGACGAAGACGAAGGAACTTCTGACTTAAGTAAAATTATTTGTCTAAGCCCTAGTATCCATATAAGAGATTACGCAAACACAATAGCTTATACAGTTGGTAGTTATTTTGGAAGTTTTTATTTCTCGAATTAGGAAATCCGATATGAATTGTTTAAACGATGTTTCACAGTGACCGATTTTTTACTATGACAATCGAAAAATCGGCATTTTTTACTATGACATCGAAAAATCGGCGTTTTTTGTAACTCGATTCACAAATTTCTAAATAAACTTGCTGCGCTGACTTACTACATTTACCAACTTTTTTTGTGTACCAAAAAAGATCAACATTTTCTGCTTTGATAACGATAAGTAAATGCTTTTTTTGGAAGCATCGTATTTTCATTTTTCAAAAATATCCGGTCACTTTAAACGCGATATCTCGACATTCAGTGCTTGGATTCGAGTGAAATTACCATAATTCGATTTATCCCGACAGGACGAATCGAATGGTGGCAATTTCGCTCGAATCCAAGCACTGAATATCGAGATATCGCGTTTAAATTAGTATTGTGAGAATATCAAAGATGGACCCGCAATTAGGTTATCGATTAATACTGCAATCAAATTTCCAATATTGCAAAGAACCCCAGACACTTCTATGATAGGCTACTGTGAAAAAATTGGTTTCACGTACTAAGTAAATATGTGCAAAACAGTTTATTTTAACAGTACTTTGAAGATTTAAACAGTAATTTTTGAGAAAATCATACAGTTGACACTTTTCACATATAAAAGTTTATCCAAAATTATAGTGTCTGGAATCATGTTGCATTTAAGAAACTAGATTCTTATCATGTTTCGTATTAATTTTATTTGTCATGTTGTTTTTCTTTTTTTTTGTCATATGGTGCATAACATCTAAAGACATCAAACGTTTGTATTTTATAAAATGTATAACTTCTTTATTAAGAAGTAAATACAAAATTTAATCCATAAAGATCATATTCACGGTATTTACGTAATAAAAAAGCTTATACATTTTATAAAATACAAACGTTTGATGACTTTAGATGTTATGCACCATAATGCTATTATCTTTTCTAAACTTTGATAAATGCAATTCTTATCAGTTTAAATTAGATTTTTAAGAACAATTATTTCAAAGTTAGATGTCACTTATATTGTCAAAATACTTTTTTAGAGTTTGATGAACTTGATATAAAGCTTGCTTATTTTCTCAGATTAGTTTAAAATTGTTATAGCTTTCATAATTATTATTGTTAAAGCTGTTAATTTGTTTTTGTTGAATTTTTGATATTTAAAAATGGAATATCTTATTTTTTAATATTATTTGGGACGGGAAGTGAATCCTCGGCCTTTAAACCCCATCGTGCTCGTCTCAAGTCTAAAGAAAATAATTGGTTAAGATCCATTTCAACTTATATACTAATATCATATAAATTACTTACCAATACATCCTCTTCTATTATCTGAAGGCTGGGGAGGAATTTCTATCTGCCATGATTTTGGCTTCGAAAGCTGGTTTTGACGACCATTTGGTTCAGAAATTACCCTCCCTTTTGCATCTCTTTCTATCCCATCCTTAAGATCCTTGTAAATATTCGAGAAGTCCCGCTGGTAGTGGAAGAATAAGCTATGTACGAAATATACTACGCTATGGCGGATCCCTTTAGTGACTACAAAATTCTCATGAAGCAATAATCGTGAGGAGAACAATATAACCTGCCCAGGCCGAAGTGGAACGATTATTTTAAGTTGAGGGAAACAAAGTTCACCTCCCTCGAAATCACCTAATGCGACCAAACAACAGAAACTATTCGATTCGTCGCTCTCATCCCAGTGGTAGTCATTAATCGTATTGTAATGGATTGCAATCATAGGGAAAAAACTCTAAACTTGCAAAATGGATTTACAATAAATAAAATTATAATGGAACATTGGTTACCCATAGAAAACTTACTAGTTTCTAATCTCGGATACGTCAAGAACAAAAAAGGTGTGATTTTGATGCCAAATACTTGCAAAACATTTAAATGTCGATGGAGTGTATAAAAGAACTTATAACCATATTTTAGTAGCACGAATGTTTATTCCTAACCCAGAAAATAAGCCTTATATTAACCACAAAAACGGCATCAAAGATGATAATCGAGCAGATAATTTGGAATGGGTAACTCCTAAAGAGAATGCTGAGCGTAAGGTATTCCCGAATCGTGGTTGTGGTAGATGCAGAAAAATTGTGCAGAAAACTTTGGATGGAAATATTGTTCGAATTTGGGATTCCATCTCTCTTGCAGGTTATACACTTAAAATTTCAGGAACTCATATTTCGGCATGTTGTAGTAGAAAGCGAAATTTCGCTGATAGTTGGCGTTGGATGTATTATGAGGATTATATAGAGACCCTAATGAAGAATGGAAAGAAATAGAGGTTGATTCACGAAAATTTAAAGTTTCATCTCTCGGAAGAATTCAGTTGCGTAATGGTTTAATCTCTCGAGGATCATTGCATTCAGGATATCTCCGAGTTAAAAATTATCGTATTCATCGGTTGGTAGCATTAGCATTTTGTCTAAAAGAAGGAGGTAAAGAATACGTAAATCATATTGATGGTGACTCTACTAACAATAGTGCATCTAATCTCGAATGGTGTACCCCGAAAGAAAACTCTCAGCACGCTGTGCACCTCGGCCTTTGGGCAACTGTCATCGACGTGCCGTTAAACGGATTTTCGATGATGGCTCTACTCAAGAATTTCCATCCTTATCTGAAGCACAACGTATAACTGGAATTGATGAATCATATATTGGAAAAGTTTGCAAAGGACGTAAAGGTCGTGCTGGTGGATATTATTGGGAATATGTAGATCAATAAGCATTGAGATATGTTCATATGTTTTTCAGCTTAATTGCATATCTTTCTACTTCATCCGATTAGCAAAGTGATGAAGTTCTTCTGGAATCTGGTCATAATGTATAATCTGCCTAAAATTTACAGATTTATTTCGTTTAGCGATTTGGATTGATGAGGTAAAGGTATGTTTGATTAGATTTTTTTCGTTCTATTTTTTTTCACTTGTATGAAGCGGATAAAAGAACCAACCAGTGAAACTCAACATATTTTGTAGCAACGCTCACGATCTAAGAATCAAATTTGGAATTATATAAGTATGATTATATCATGGAAATCCAGTCAATTGATATTTTTTCCTATAAAAAGAGCAATAAATTACGAGAATTATTAATCAAGATCAATCTCCTGTACTTACCTTTGATTAGACTTCTTTCGTAAGAAGGCAAAAATAACAAATATATACAATTTGCTTGAAAATTATTATTTTTAACGCAAATGAAAAATAGTAATTCTTTATTATAATCAATTGGGAGATCTTTTTGAATTATTTTGGATGTAAGGTTTCTTAACTGATAAAACACGCTATAAACTGCCCCCAGCACGACTAAATGACCCATCACATTATTACGACAGCTGTTTGTCTTCCTCTTCCTGTAAAAGTGATTCACGAATTTTGATTAGTGCTGTCAGAACTGAAAGTCTTCCGGCCGGTTCCGCCAAATTTAGACCAGTCTTTGGATCATTCCCTCCTGGCCATCTTAAAATTGTAATTGACTGCTTTCGTGGTAAGCCCCTCTGAAGTTCTTTCCAATATGCTACAGGAATCTCGGCCTTGTAGAATGTAACATACGAGGAGATGATACGAACAGCCAATATAGTCTGATCCGTAAATACACGAGAGATACGTAAATTTTCATATCCGCAGGCAAGTATCTCGGCAAGCATTTGCGCTTCTCCAAAATCAGGTAGAAAAACGTTTTTCAAATGCTTATCCTGTTAAGAAAAAGGTTTTGAGTCATCAAAAAATGTGGGCTCGTCAAACAATCAAAACATACAGACCTCTACGACTATCATAGCAACTTCTTTCTTATCCACTACAAATTCAGGTTTTGCCGATACATTCTTATCACTAACGGATAACCTGTAACATTCTTTGACTCTAGGTTTAGATA